ATAATAATATTATTATTATTATTAATTAATTTTATTTATATGGCACCTTTCATACAATTTTTTTGCAATTCAAAGTGCCTTTCACAAAAAAATAGGTTAAAAAACCTGTAAGCAACTTAAAATAACAATAACAAACTAAAAGAACCATGCACAATACAAATAGCACTGAAATTATATAAGAAAAATTAAGTAAAAGCAAGAGTAAAAAAATACGTTTTGACCTGCTGTTTAAAAATATCCACAGAGCCAGCCTCTCTAATATTTTTATGAATACTATTATGTTATTTGAATATTTGCTCAACTAGCTTTTGTACAGTACATCTGGTGAAGTTACTTTTCTGTTGCTCGTTTCTCGACATTTTCTTTAGCCCTCACTCTTCCAATGCCACCTAATAAAAAACACCCCATTGCTAGGATAATCATGACAACCTTGCCCAAAAGAAAAAAGCGCTAAAAACATAAATGCGGTCGTGGCCACCCAAGGAATTCATGTAGCACCGCAGAGCTGGCTGGGAGTTGAAGCCGGGTTTCTTTTCTTCTCTGTAGACCACTAAGTCACCCTGCTAATGTAACCGTCTTAACCATGCAGAGAGGAGAATGATGTCCAAACTAGAGGCCATCATGGACCACATCCCCCATCCCCTCTATGACAGGCTTGCAGAAATGAAGAGCACGTTCAGCAATAGACTGATTCATCCGCGGTGCGACAGGGAGCGCTACAGGAGGTCATTCTTGCCTTCTGCCATAAGACTGTACAACGCATCCACCTTGCGTCTGGGCAGAGGCAACACTGACAGTGACCTGTTTCTGGACTGAACGCATCTACTGCTACATCTGTTCTCTTTCTTTTCTTTTCCCGTCTACAACCGTTTTTCGTGCAATATATGTCAGGGACCTGTGCAATACATTTATATCTATATCTATATTTACATCTGTATTTACATTCATATGTGTGACAATTTTCTGTGTACTGTTCTGTTCTAGTTTGTTCTTTGTGTGTCCGGACTGTGAGTAACTCTTTTAGTGCACCCCTCACTGTACTGATTGTATTGTATGTATTGTACTATTATTATTATTATTGTATCATTCGTTACACTGTGGCTGTGTTGTCTGTGTTAAGCTGCTGTTGCACTGCAATTTCCCTCACAGGATCAATAAAGTATCTATCTATCATCTATCAATACAATAGTTAGTTGTTTACCTCTGTTATTGTCCGTTGATGTGTAACCACCCTGACTCGGCATACGTGTCCCGTTTACCGCCCTAGTGTGTGTGTTACCCTTTGACTGATTCTGTCTCTGGTGCCTATTGTGCAACCTCCAGGTTACGAACCCCAGGTATATGTATGCTTCCTGTCAAGATGTTTGTGTAGGTACTTAACACTTACAACCACAAAATCCAAGAAGGTGCTGTACTCATCGGTAAATCTACTTACTGAATAACTAAACTGTACCTGACGAAAAGAGGCCATTTAATTCAGGAAGTAAGTAAAAATGTTAAAGAATGACACTTTACCCACCTTATTACTCTAACAAGTTCATGAAAGGCTTGGTCTACGTTCATTCGGATTTTAGCAGAGGCTTCCATATAAGTTACTTTCAGCTGCCTTGCTAGCTGCTGACCTTCTTCTTGCGTCACCTAAAACAAGTAAAAAAAGGCAACACAAAAAATATAAAAACAGAGCCGGTCAGGAGCAGCGGACTGAGCAAGCCTAAAGTGGAACTGAGCCAGATCACTTGGGTTAGCAGCTCTGTTATCATGAGTTAAGACCATAGTATCCCCTGTCACTGGAGCACTGGCTTGGAACAGTCTATAAAGAAGAGAGCCGTCTACTGGTGAATAATACCATTTACAGCAGTGACTAGATTTTTCTTATAGGTTGCGCCATCTCTGGTTCTTCTGAAATTTGACAAGATCAGGCTTCAGGGGAGCACAGTTCACTTTTGTTTAGCAGAAGGGAGGGGAGAATTCCAGCTCTATGTTTTACCCTAAAAGGGTGACCTGTCCAATAGTATATGACATTGGCCTTCATCTACAATCAGCAAGTTTAGAAAATAAAAATTAAATCATACTGTAGATTAATTAAAGTGATAGCTGACATACACTTGCAACTTTGCAATTTGCTAGGAACTTGTTGAAAAAAAAAACACAGATAGAAGCAAGAACTACAACTTAAACCTGAGGAGAGCTGAAGGATGTTATTAGTTGATGTGCCCTCTGCTGGAAAACGTGCTGAGTTGCATGACAGAGTCAGTACATTGAAATACTCCAGAGCAAATAACCATATTTTTCTATGTTTACATTTTTCTTTTCCATAATAAGGGCCTAAACATATTGTTTCTATAACCTATTTTAATTATTAAAGTTAAAGTGATAATGTCAGGAAATATCCTTAGCCACTTGAATTTCACAATGTTAATCTTTTAACATACCCTTCATTGCACCTACAATATGAAATTATCTAAAAAAATAACCTCACTGCCTAACAGCAGATGATTTTAAATTACAAGCTTAGATATGAGGTCTAAATATATTCTGAAGTAAGTTAAAATAATGTACAGTTTTGCGCATCTACATGGTTATTAAGGAGCTCTATGGTCCAAAAGACTATTTACTCATAAAATATCACTACAATAAAGTCAATATTGCAAATGTCGCAGATTATGTTGCATCAGTTAAAAAACAATGCTCTATCATATTTGCTTAACTAGCTTTTGTACTGTACATCTGGTGAACTTACTTTTGTCTCCACAAGATGGCAACCTATAAGCAATGTTAAGGAAGCCAGCTCAGGCTTCTACCACATTGCCCACACAACAAAGCCACTAGTTCACTTTCATCTGAATAGCAGGTATTGAATGCCATTTCATCGCCACTATTGTTTTGGTTTCTACATGCAAACAGACGTTCTGCACCTCACTTCAACCTTACACAATGATGTGTTAATGGAGTATTCCAAGACCATCCTTGCATGATACCACTGCACACAGAGTCTTAATGTAGCAGAGGAATTTGAAAGTCAACCCAAAACCTGACAAGAAGCCAGCGCATGGACTCTAAGAAAGGGTGATGAGATCCTTCAAGTATGACATTACAATTATCAATCCCTAAAATAAAAATACAGTGAACCAGTTTTTCAAAACATTCCCATTTCTGCATCAGTAGTGCAAACCAAAAACTTGCATTTCCAACCAACTACTCTACTCCATCTCTTCCTCTTTCTTCTATATGAGCAATGAAAGGACATGAAAACTTTTTAAACATTCTAAATATCAAACAATAAAAACCTGTCCATTGCAAATAGGTTATTGATAAATTATAAATCACAGTGGTCTTCATTCTCAGAGATCTTGCTTTACACTGAAGTTTTAGAACACTTTCTGAAAGTACCGATAAACAAAACAAGTTTAATTTAATGGAAATTCAGATTGGTTTGCAAGATGCTTTTTCTAGTAAGAAAGGAACATATGGCTCTATGAAGTAAGCCATCCTTTAAACACAATAAAAAAAGCCTACAAGGGGTGTATAAAATGTTCTAAATCTCAGTGAGCTAAGGGAAGGGTTTCTACTATTGCATTAAAAAACTGCTAGCAACACAGTGGACATGACCGATAAGACAGAAACCAAATAGCTCAGGGCACAGCTGGCCTATATACAGTAGAAAATGGAGTCCCTGCAATTCTGCTATTTATCTTACCTGTCTCTGGAGCTCCAGATCAGCTTTGTTTCCAACAAGGATCATGGGAAACTCATCACGATCTTTTACTCTGAGGATTTGTCTTTGGAATTTGTAGATTTCTTCAAAACTATAAATAGTGCAGAATGAATAAAGGTTAGACAATTCTGAAATGAAACCGGAGGTGTCAAGATCAAAGAACCATTCATTTATTTCAGTAACTACAGAATGAATGAATGATACACGATGAGAATAGGTCCATGGTCATTCTGGACACACTGTCAGTTATCAAGTGAACAAATCTGCCATATGCACCATCAGAAAGAGCGGCGTAAAGGTCACGCAACTGTTAAGGCTGCCAGCTCAGTAAGAGCTGAGGTTTCTCGAGTACCTAGGGGGAAGACAGACACTGGACAAATGAGAGTGTTAATCAACACATGACAAGTGAACAATGAAAAATGATGTTGATGGAATCGCAACATGAGAGGAAGCTCCTAGTTTACATGAGCATGTGGTGAAGCACGAAGGTGGCAGTAGTGTTGAGCGCAGCTTCCAAAGCAAGTAAAGGCTGGTTTGCGAAGTTTAAACAGCAACTTGGGTAGTGTGAAGCTGCAAGGGGAAAAAACTGAGACAGTCCATCATGAAGCATCTGTACCATTCAAGGCAGAGTTTCTAAAGTTCATTAAGGAGAACAGATACTAGGTGTTAAAGGTAGATGAAATGGTACACTTTTATGAGATGGGCAGCAGGACCAGCAAGGAATAAAAGGGAACAACTGAGATCAAAGCCTTTAAGGATTGGCAAGCGTTGATTTTTTGGTGGGAATGCTTCTGATCATTTGAAATGCAGATCTTTGGCTTCCACTCTGAAGGGTCGGACGATATTAGAGGAGAGGAGGTGAATAAGCTGTCAGAATCCCATTACAAAAAGCCAAGAAAGAGTCAACCGAAGAGTGAAGCTTCAAATTCAAAACAGAACTTGATCACAGGTTAGCGCCCTACATGGATCTCTTGGATTTATGAAGAATAACAGGGGGAAAAAAAGAATCAGCATCTTTGTTTCCCAGCCTAAGTGGTCTGCATCCACTCCAACTTCCCCAACTGTTACCCAACCATCAACATTTGCTTTTGCTTCCATGAAGTCCGAGGTCGAAAATCCAGAGGATCCACACAATTAACCCCCTAGATTCCAAATGCATCATAATCAATCTAAAAGTATGTGGTAGCATTCTTAATATTTATTTACAGTTTATTTTAAACTTATGCATATTAAAAATAGAGCCATACATTAATCAGGGTGCAAAAATTCTACACATCTAAGCATTAATGGGAAGCTTTAGGCATCTGTATCCTCCTTTAACCCATAAGATATTGTATTCATCCAAAGTGGATATACTGTATTACGAGTTGTTAGAGAGTTAACTTATTTTAGGTTGTTTGTTGTGTATTGCAGATAGTCAATAACAGAAACGGGAAACAAGCATAAGGGCAATCTTGATACTGTTCTACAATTTGTGATATCATAAATTTCTGAGAGATTTTTTCTGCCAAATGTTAAAGTGTTCTCTAGGATAAAGGCTCACAAAAGACACTTCAGTAGGAGTAGAATTTATTTTTCTCATTTTTTAGAGTCTAGTGCTTAGATGTAAGGTTTTCTGCACATATTCTCTGTGCAACAAATATTCATGCAGCTCTAAAGATACACATGTACTGCATATAGAACAACTTCCCAGATTAAAAAGTAAATTCTTTATAGTGCTGTAACATGGACCATGGAGTGGCTACTATTAGATGACATTTGGAGAAAATGCTCAATACTTTCCCTGTCCCAGAAAAGGGTTTCCATCTCCTGAAAATCTCAATTGTATGTAACCAAAACCACATGAATTAAACCTCTTCCTTTGGACTCAGTCAGCTGGAAGCATTTTTGCGAAACATAACGTGATAGCCCTGGCAGGAGAGAAATTCTGAACAAGGCAAAGGAAAGCCTTTCAGACAAGAAATCTGGTTATCCCTCAAGTGACCGCATATAAGAAAGTCCACACCTTCTGAACACTTTGTCAAGCAGTCATAGAAAGAAGAGGTTATTTTTGAGGCACCACAGTTCCCTTTTCTTCTACTAAGAGGTTTAAAGTTTAATTCTCTGTATTGTACAGAAAGCCATAAATATAAAGGAACACCTAAAGTGTAAACAAAACGTTTCCTACCAAAACAGGAATGGGTTCCAACAAATAACTACTTGGCAGATTTACTAGACTTAACTGTAAATCCTGTTCTGAGGTTAAAGTCATAGCTCAATAATACAAACCACAAAAGGAAAAACTGTTTATAGCCCACATAGAAAGGAGAAAGCACAAGGACTTATTCGTGTATTGTAAATACAGATTCAACTGCCATACCATACCATGAAAAATGGACCTTAGGACAAACTATGACAATTGTGAAATTTCTGAGGTTCTCACACAACATATCACAAGCCTTTTGACTGATATTACTAACAATGATGGGATTTTATACATGCTACCAGGTAAATTACAAAAACATTAAAAATAAATCATAGCTGGGTTTTTGAAATTCTGGAAGTCCTTAATTTGTTTAAAAATTGCCGTTTCAACATACAGATTAAAAAACTGTATGCATTCAAGGCACAGGTAACTAATTGAATTAAACAGAACAGTCTTCCCCTTATAGCTGCCTCTACAGATCCTTTTACACAAGCAATTAGAGTAGACTGGAGTGAAAGTGAAAGTGGCAGGACTCCTGATGCATGGCAGTTTAATTAATACACGCAGCAGGGCACATCAACACTCCAGAGGTGGATTAGGATCAGCTCGAGGCACGTTTTGAGGGGGGGGGGGGGGGGAGAGGTCTTTTACACCCTAAAACCAGTTTCACAAAGGAAAGGACTGGAGTTAGCCAGAGGCTGCGTTTGGCCACTGTGTCCCACTTACCTTCCTCTATCGGTGACGGAGAACACGAGCAGGAAGCCTTCCCCTGTCCTCATGTATTGTTCTCTCATGGCTCCAAATTCTTCCTGTCCCGCTGTGTCTAAGACTGACAACAAAAGGGAAGCCCCACAAGTCAGTCGTTGCCATGGCACGAAATGCAAGGCAGCAGACGCAGTCAAAACACAAATTAAAACACGGGTTTGAGACTGTCACCTCATCGCAGGCTAATAAAGACAAAGGCTTCCTGACAGCATGGAAATGAGAACTAATCGGCCACTGCAATACAGCTGCTAATCAAAAGAAATTGGATCACACAGCAGTCTAGTTATATTATGGATTGCAGGAACTACCCACCAATGTGGAATTACTTTCCGATTACGAGAAATGATGTTTCAGGGCAAGTTCCTTCATTAAATTAAAGTTTTACACGCTGTTTATTAAAACCTTCCTCGTGCTTTAGCTGGAATATAATTATATCTCTAACTTGTGAAGGACTTGATATTTCTGTGAGGAGACTCAAATTACAGTGAGACAATGTAATGATATCTATGCAAATTAATGGCTGACCACTATATGTTTTTGGTGCAAATTTATATCTTCATCAATCCAATAGTTCTGACGTTCAAGGTTCAATTTAGAATGTGTTTCTATACATTTAATCTAGGGTAGCTTTTGGGCGTTAAACGCGATTCATGCCTTAACGGTGTACTTACTATCCAGTCGAGCTGCTCTGTCATCTATCACACACTGCTTTGTGTAGGAATCTTCAATCGTGGGATCATAATCTGTGACGAAGTAAGACTGCAACAAAAAGAGAAAAAAATAATGTAAATCTATCAGATGATGAAAACAGTCAACTGTTGTGCAATCTCACACAAAGGTATAGTTTTGGTTAAATGTTTTTTGTAGAAGGAATTATAAATTTAATATTAAACGTTCTACATAGGATTCTATAATGAAGGTCTTTATTTAGATCTAGCCTTTTTACAAATAACGGAAAACACTGGTTCTATAGTGGTAACCCTGCCTTCAAATACTATAAATGTATCATTCTTAGGACGTTGTTGCAAATGGCTCTTTACGGACAAATACTCACCAAACCAAAATTTCTTTTCAATGGTTTGGTTGCTGTAGTGAAGCAAAATATTAGAAAGTACACAACTAAACTGATGAAGTCAGTTTTTAATTACATCACATTTATCGATCAGCTGGATAACACAAAAATAAGTTGGCCTCTAGTGCACTATTTAGTAGAATTAGATAAATTATGTTGATAAATACCTTAGGTTGTATTAGCCTGATTTTACCTGCTATAGACTAATACTTCGGTGGTGTGCCAAATTCAAGCACAAAGTTCCCATTAAGTAATTGAGCACAGCTCATCCGAAACTGTTCAGTTCATATTGATCCTCTTTCAACTCTAGCTTTCATCTTTGCTTTTCACAGTATTAAGCCCGATGTAAACATATCCACTGTAAAGGTTTAAAGCGTTTAATAATATTTCAAATATATTTTTCATGAGAAAATATCTAGAATAGGTTGAGTCAATAACGTAGCAGTTGACATCAGACAACCCTGCTGCAAAGCAAACCCAAACACTTTGGCATCTTTTTTAACTCTTGGATAATGAGGCAAAATGAACACAAAATTCCAGCCAAATCAATGCTACTTTAATGATAGCTTTCAGCAACAAGGTCAGCATACAGTACATCATCTCAGTCAAAACATTGGCTGTTAGATGGGACTGGCCTTGACTGTAACAATAACATGAATGATTTCTCAGTTTTAATTAATGCAAACTTTGCCCTCCTTAAAGCCATTTAAAAGCTACTTCAGAAAGATTTAAACATACTTGCAGCACAATTATACAAGAAATTTAAAAGACCATATTTTTATCACTGGGTTTTTAATAGTTCTCCACTTATGTGTGCTTATTTTGCAATGGCATACCACCCTTTAGAATGCAATTAACAGTCACGAAGTCGTCACTAAAACCCAATCTAGCAAAATGTATTCATCACCTTCCCAGCATAGAGTGTGTTTTATCATTGTTAAAAATAAATGTATATAATATAGTTGCTGTTATTGTAAACTATGTTCATCTGCCGTTGAAAAGACGGTGGCTGGGACGTCCCCTTTAACGAGTGTTAAAAACAAATGCACCCATATAGAGCAGACATATGAACTGCTGAACAGAAATGCGAGTCAAAGAGACTCTAGGATTAATGGTCATCATCACTTATAAACTGTTCTTGAAGCTTTGATAAGGCACCTAGAATCTAGCAGGCCATTTTTAAGGTTTTAATATCTCCAAAATATTCTACCAAGGAATGTGGAATGTTCTCTTTTCATCAAAGAGGTTAATTTCTTTTGGAAATACCTTCTAGAATATGTTCATTTTTATTCCATAAAACAATGTTTTATGATAAATATACACACTTAGTTCAATTAATGAGGAAAAATATCAAAATGGCATCTTTTTTGTCCTATTTCAGGCTTTCTCATATCACCTTGGCTATTAAGTGAAAATGGGGCACAGTTTATAGTAAAAAAAAATGAAAGCTACAGCTTAGAGGAAAATAAATCAGGACAAACTAGAGGTTGCCAGCTATAAAACCCACTTCTCACTCACCCATTTATCGCAGTTAGTCCATTAACAAAAAGAAATCCTAAACGTAAACACTTTTAAAGGATAAATTGTAAATATGAAATTAAGCAAATTTCTAATAAAATATACTAATAGTTTTTAATTTGTGGTTGGTTAAATCTAAACCAATCCTGTTGTTGCTCATGGAAACACTGTTCAACTATCCATAAAACATTCTAACACTCTAAACCTGAATGCCCTGTAAAAGTACAAAGTAAAAATGTTTCTGGTGATCTTGCCCCTCTATATGGGAGTTGCTATTAGCCTGAGTAAAATATACATGCTGCATGACATTCATGCTCACCTGTATTATAGTCACCTCATTGAAAGCTTCAGATTTAAGGTAAGACATGACAGAATTCTCCCAGAATCCTTGTGACCCAAGAAAGCTCAGGGTCAAGGGTCAAGAGACCTTGAAAAGGTTGATAAGGATCACATCTCGTCTAGTAAGGTACAAAACAATTGGCACAACCCTTGACGTTTTTATTCAATTTATGCCACACTACCAGTGGTTGCCTGAAATCTAAAGCTGACATTTAGGTCTACTAGCTTAAAGGCAAAGTGACTTCATTCATCTTCGGTGCTGTTGACACACAATGGAAAAACAGCAACATTTTAAAACTTAAAACACAGTAGAAGCAGCAAATGAAATTCAGAAATATTAGAATAAAATACGAGGATGGGCACACACCTGTCAGGTTACATTTATTATAATCAAGTGCAGGGTTTAGTATGCACTTAGCACTTAGTAAAAACAGTCTATAAATACAAAATGGGAGATAGATGGGGCTAATTCTGAAAAGGACTAAAGTATTTCTATTGAAACATTGTTTACTTCTTCTAGGCAATACGGAGAACCAATTAAAAAGGCGAACAAAATGTTACGACATTATTAAAAGCATAGAATAAAACCAAGGGAGGTTAAAATTGTACAACACACTACTAAGGCCTCATTTATAAAACGGTGAAAAAATTTTGGTCAGAAAAGATATTTTCTTCTCTTGAGTCTGTCCAGAGAACAGTAACTAGATACATTCTGGGACTCACAGGGATGTCCTACACTGACAGGCAGCTGAAGGAACTGGACCTTTTCAGTCTTGAACAGAGAAGGATGAGTGGACCTGCTACAAATACTCAAAAACTTCAAGGGCATCGATCACGTCAACCCAGCAAGGGTCTTCACAATCAACAGTGAAACACGAAACAGCAGGAACTATACAGAAAGGCATTTAAAATCAAGAACTGGAGGCTCATCTTCACCCAATGGACTGTGGGAGTATGAACCAAGTCATGCTGTTGAAGGCAATACTCTGGCATCTTTCAGAAAAGGGCTGGGATTAATGGGGACTATCAAATTAAATAGAAGGGCCCAATGGGCTCCTCTCTTTTTTAACCTCTTGTGCTCTAAAATGAGAAAGTGGATAGGAAGTTAGCACGCTGTTTTACAGTCCTCTGACAGAAGGAACAGAATAAATTCAAATAAAAAAAAACACGAACAAATTAATTCAAATAAAAAAAAACGATCTTCCAAATACAATGGATAACTTTTAATAGCCGTGTCTATCTACATTACTATAGATATTAAGCCCAGCGAAAACCATCTACTAAGTCTAACATTACTAACCAAGTTAGTGATTTTACTTGGCTACTAAGTTTATAAATTGAAGGAATTTAAAGAAAGCCCAGTGATACTGTAAATCAGAATTTCAATATTGGAATACACTGTAGCTTAGACTGATTTTACTGTAGACTGGACTGATTTTAAAAACTACAGAGAAAGCACCATGTGAGAGCACATTTTGCCCACAGTACCAAGAGGGCTACGGGGTCTGTGATGGCTCTAGGTGGAACAAGTTCCAGTCAGGATAGGAGGAAGGAAGCTCCACCCACACACAGGGCAGTCAGCCAACCATGGTGCTCTGGACGATGATGTCATTGAGGGGATATTCCCTTTCAGCCTTCTGGGACTTTTTTTTGTTTTTTACAGCTTTGAAAGTCATAGTTGTTTGTGCCCTGATCTAACTTGTTAAACGTTTTTTTCCATTAAATGAATTGCACACAGGAGGTCCTCTTTTTCATAGCTAATAAAACAGAAATATTTATTGTTGCTTTTCATCAATGTTTTATGCTAACTGTAACAAAACACTTCATAACTGGGGGCTTGATGAATGAATAGCTTTACCCATTCAAGATGTACTGTATGTTACCGATATAGCTGCTTATACTAGTTCTGGAATACAGTCAGTATTAAATTGCAACTGGCGACAGGCACAGTCCAGGAATATTCTCAGACACCACTCCTAGGTAATACAGAATCGGCTTCTATGATCCAACAGAATAAAAATAAAGTCTTATTACATTACAGTTATTGGCAGATGCTTTTTTCTTCTCAGAGAAGGAAAATAAGTATGCATGTAGGCGTGCTGTAAACTCAATGCTTGCATGATGCACCCACTTCCTGGTAATGCAGGCTGCATGCCAGATCTACTGAACTTTTCCTTTGTCATTCAGAGTCAGCAGGGTATTGATTTATGAAATGTGACTGGCATTTAATGTGTAGAAAATTGAAAAAATCTTTAAAAAAGTTCTGAAGAAAATCTTTGGAATGAAAAGCAACCCAATGTTCGTGTAAGCCTAAAACCTTTTAGCAGAACATGAAGCTGAAAAATAATCTATTAAAGGCTGGTGCTGGACAGTTACAGATTGGTTTTAGACAATAGCTCAGCAATGCGATCTCTTGTATAGTACATCTCAGCATAACAAGTAGCTTGTTTTTTAAATGATATGACAATCACCCTGGCCTGTATTTCCGACAGACTTCTAGAATTTAGTTTCCAAAATCTGTTCACAGATGCCATCACTATCAGAGAGGCTTTAAAGTTCCAATTCTGTTTACTTTTAGAACCAAACATCAAAGCAAAGACCAGCTTCATTACAGAATAATTTAGAAGTCCACATTAAGCTACTACTATACATATTCAAAGCACTGCCCACTTATCTATGAAAAACAACGCATCTCAAATTCTGGCAACTCCATCCATCGGACAGGCTTACCAAAAACACACATGCAAAAGGTATTTCCAACTAATAGATCATCCTGAAATTTAACAATGTCCAGAGATGAAACTGTGAAGCTTAATTTTTTTCTGAATGC